TGTGGACTTCAACTCCCAGAATCTTAAAGTTGTGTGAGGAGAAAAAAAAAAGATTTATTAATATTTAAGGCCTTTGTTAATAAAAATAGCTATAAAGCAATAAATGCTAACACCAAATAAAACAAGCTTACAGAGCAATAAATAAAATTGCTATGTGGACTAAAGTTTTCAGTCATGGATAGGAAGCCGGAAAACAGATGGACAAAGTAAAGTGCTGATGGAAGGAGTATGGCAGGAGAAAGGAACAGGGAAGGGATGGAAAATTAGCACCAAGGACAGTAGCACATCCTGGGAGTCAAGATTGTGGTTTGTGGTTTTAAGGAATAAAAAGGGATTGCTGACAAGGGGTCGGGGCCACTCGGCTATCAAGCTGTCTATTTGACTGCTTGTCCGTGCTGGTCCTCATTGCAATGTGATTTATGTAAGTATGTTATGTTTTTGCCTATTGAACTAACTTTTAATAAAATTTTAACCTTTAGAGTCTTAGAAGTAGTCAGTGTTTTGGTGTGTATGTCTCTCATGCTTAACGAGGTTTTCCCCTGACAGTTGTCAAGGTTGAGAAACACTAGTTTAGAGTGTTGACTCAATTAAAACTCAGAGCTGAAAGATACTGTTTGAAAAGGGGGAGAGATGCCTTGTTTTTCAAAGCAGAAGCCACATAGGGATACAAGGGATACAAAATTCTCACCTCATTTCCACCCTGCAAGACTGCAGCTGGTAGGCCTTTAGCATCTCTTGAGAACCTCTAGGCCCTGCTTGCTTCACAGCTGTATCCACCTAAAGAATATATTGCTTTCCTCTTTCAGGGATACACTAAAGCCATGGTGAAATTAAAATTGAAAAAAACACCAGTCGATGACATTTCAGAGAGTCTGCGTCAATGTGGAGGCAAATTAAATTTTGATGAACTGCGGCAAAACCTAAAGGGGTAAGTTTGAACAGTTTCTTCTTCATTTATACAAAGATTAAAACAACCGATAAATAATCACACAGTTCCTTTCAGAGGAAGCACAGTTTTCCACAGCACAAAAATGGAGTAAGAAATAGTAAGCCCAAAAGTGTAAAAGAATGAGATAAGAAAAAAGAAAGGAAATGCAATTAAATCTAGTTTACAACACCACCATTTGGTGTTCCTCTCCATATCTTTCTGTCCTTGCAAACCATTCTTCTGTCTACCATATCCATACACTGACTCTTGTTCTTTCAATTTCTCACATCTCATTTTCAGGTTCTCAACAATTCTGCCCAATCAAGATTTTCTTGGTTTTTCCCTTCCTCTCAGCATATTCACCTCCCTTTACATATTTGTGATTGGATCCTCATTTATTCTCTCTATATCAGTGTTCCTCAACCTTGGCAACTTTAAGATGCGTGGACTTTGACTCCCAGAATTCCCCAGCCAGCAAATTCTGG